GTACTTATGAACATTGAAGGACAATCACAAGCATGGATAGGACCTTGGAAGTGGATTATGTGAGATATATCTATATATATGGTTGAATCTAAATAATTAAGAAGCAAATGTTGTGTGTTTGTGTGTTGTACTCACTGTTGGAAATGGGAGTTTTAGCGGCGTTTAAAAAACGTCGCTATAGGTCCCAAAAACGCCATCAAATCATTTTGTGACGTTTAGCACCAAACGCCGAAGATGCGGCCTTTGCTATAACTTTATGACGCTTTAGAAACGTCGCTATATTACTATGCCGCTAAAAATTCTACTAACGGCAACATGACGTCACCATGCTATTTAGCGACGTTTTTAAAACGCTGTCGTATCCCTTTTTTAAAAAAAATCCGACCGTTGGTATGATATTTAGCGACATTTTTAGAAACGCTGGGGTAGTCTTTTTTTTTTTAAAAAAAAAAAATTGTGCTAATTTTATGTGATTGAACTAAAAAAACTGAAAAATAGCACTAATATGAAATAATAACTCCCATTCAAATAGCAAATACAACATTAGTTCACTTTCCCATTCAATTTAATATCCAATCACCATTAATCACAAAATAACAAATTCACAAATCATGTTTTAGCAAAGACATTAACAGAGAAAGAAGTGTTGAGCTATAATGATTGATCCAACTATACAAGAGATGGCAAATTACTACCAAGAAAATTATCCCCAACTCAAGATATCACCAATGTAAGAGACTCTATTGAACTTTACTAGATTGTATTTGAAAAATCTATTCCTACCTATAACATAAATTTCAAGCTTGGATGAATTAAATTCAAATTGATGAGAGAGTTCACCGTTTGTCTTCACTAGTTTACATACCTGCATCAGAATATAAACTGCAATCAGATTCACCAAAATAAACATAAATTGAAGAATTTGTAAACTTAATTTTCTTAATCACTTGATTGTATTTATTTATTTTTAAGTATTTAATTTTTTTGGTAGGGGTGGCTAGAGTTTTGCTCCCAACACATTATTTTACATAGATTTTATTATTACCATATTCTTATACCATGCCATTATTATGAGTTGCCATATATCACATACTCGCCAGAATACTTCCAATGTATTTGGATTTGGAATTTTAGGAGAAATTCATAAAGACAAGGAAAATTTTGTGCGTATAAGTTAAATCTTTGATCCAATATTATCAAGAGTAATGACATAAAATAACTCAAATTTCAAAGCACATCGTCAGTAACTAATTAATAATGCAACACCACCAAAGTGACCCAGTTTCCAGTATATCATAGAATTGACAACTCAAATTACCAAATCTTCCTGCTGAGAACTCAAGAGGTCTGAACTTCCAGCAATAGCAAGAAAACAATAACCCGACCCACTGAACATAAGAAATTACAATAAAAATATATGAAAAAGTGGATATGCAAGAGTAATATAAAGGGCACCTATTTTACCTCTCCACCATCATCTAGAACAAACACTTGCCCATGCTCAAAAGGGGACATTGTACCCGCATCACTGTTCAAGTAAGGATCTGAATGAAAGAGCAAATTGTGAGTAAACAATAACTACTTGTTGTTTTCTCAAATTGGGTTTTGTAATTTAACAAAAATGGAAGCACTAGTAACAAGGCAGAACATTGTGAACATTTAACAAGGGTAGTTGAAACAAAAGTAGGCTTGTTTCAAAGACAGTACAAACAATAAGAAAACCTAGATTACCCAGCCAAGTTCTGTACATAAGTATGAGGAGATTCTACAAAAGGATAGGCATGCTCAAAAGTACCTAAATTATTGAGAAAAAGAAAAGACAAGGAAGGGGAAAGGGGGTGAAACCAATACCTTGGCAAACTGACCAAAGAAGGATTCCACATCTTTAAGCTTGACATCATACTCTAGGGGTGATGCAGCAATTCTCCTATTGCTTGATTATTCTATGTCCTCATATGGCTGAAAAAGCTCAGTAGCCCTACCAATCTTCTTACCTAAAACGCACAAACAATATGTAATTCTGCCCAATATCAAAAGAAATAAAACCAGACACAAGCTACAATTCTTAATTTTCTTTTCCACATCTTCTCAGCAGCATCCAAACAGGGCAGAAATATAAAAATAAAAAAACTCACCATCTTCATAAACCTTAACACTATGTTTGGATTGAGTGATTTGGAGAGAAAAGAGAAGAAATGGAGTGATATGTATTTCTCTTATTTGTTTGGACAACCTAAGTAGAGAGAAATGGAGAGAAATGGAGAGAAACTCATTTCTCTTATAAGCTTCATTTTCAATCTTCCCAAAAGTGGAGAGATTGGGAGAGAAAAGAAACCACTATTTTCATAATATCAATTTTGTCCCTATAAAAATAAAAGAAATAAAATGATTGAAAATATAGAAAGGTTATTTTGGCAATATAACATAAAATAATTTCTTTTCTTTTCTCTTAATGAAACCTAATTAAACAAGAATGAGAGAAATCACGATCATTTCTTTTCTTTTATTTCTTCCTTATCCAAACAAAAGGAGAGAAATCACAATCATTTCTTTTCTTTTCTTTTCTCTTATTACTGAAGTAATCATTTCTTTTTTTTTCTCTCCTAGGTTCCCAAACATAGTGTAAGAAAATTAGAATTCTCTAAAGTATCAGCCACAGCTTTCCCTATATCATCTGAAACCTTTTCTGGCTTGGAGATTCCTAAATTGAGATGACTCCTCATACGGTGTGGCGCCTCAACCAGTCCAGTAGAACGATCGCCAGAGAGAGAGAGGAAAGATCAAATTAGGTTTTGGTTTGGGGGCAAAAATCCAAGATGAATCTGTGATGTGCGGAGGTCAACGGTCCAGGTTGTTTAATAAATAAATAAATAAATAAAACATTTTGGTCATTTTACACCATTGGCAACCAAACAATTAATTTTACAAATCTCTTCAAAATTTGAAAGGTCTCTTTTCAAATATTTTAATTTTTTGGCAGTTAAAATAATTTTTAGCTGCTGAAAATAAATTTTTGACAACTAAACTTTTGGTCGTCAAAGATAAAAATAAATTGTTGTTTTTCATTCGGTGACTAAATAATTTTAGTAGTCAAAATTTATTATATAGCGATTAAAATATTTTTTAGTCGCTGAAAATAAATTTTTAGTGCCAAAGATAAAAAAATAAAATTTTGTTTTTCATTTAGCATTTTTAGTCGCTAATTGTGATATTTTCAGCGACTAAATTTTTTTTAGTCACCAATAATCAATATATCCCGATTGAAAAAACTTAGTAGCTAAATATTATACTTTTGCTGACAAATATAATTTTTAGTTGTCAATTTCATAATTTTTGACGATTAAATTTTTTGTAATCGCTAAATTTAATTACAAAAAATGTAATTTGTTGTAATGACTCTTGTCATATTCAAAAAATTAATCTTGAAATTGACATTACCAAAAATAGACAAGATAAGATATGAAGTCACACTAAAACAACTTTTCTTCCTCTTGGATTCTAGCTCATTATTGCTGATAAAGAGAGCTCAATATTACCGCAATCATAAAACAACTTTTCTTTCTCTTGGATTCTAGCTCATTATTGCTGATAAAGAGAGCTCAATATTACAGTAATCATAAACACAGAGAGCCAATAGTGGAATTAGAAAATTAAGTTGGAGGGGCATTATTAATTATAATTTTTATTTGGAAAAAAATTATGATCAACATTAAGATAATAATAATTTTATGAGTTAAATTTAAGTATAAAAAATTATATATTCATTATTAATAGGAACAAATTAAAATTCTATAATAGTGTATAATAGCTCGGTGCGGAATGGTGATATAACTTTGCAATTTTAGCATAAAAAATTATGGATCAAAATTTCTAATTTTAGAAAATAAAAACACATCCTTTATAGCACAAATTGTTATAAAATTTATTTAATTTTTATTTGATAGAAAAATATTAAATAGATGACATTGCTTATAAATGATGTGTTTTGAATGAAAATTATTAAATAGTCTAGAATACCATATAGCATTGCCTACGTGATGCTCAAAGCATAGGAAATCACAAATCATACTAAGTAGTATGTCAACTCTTTGAAAATAATGAGTTCATTATATCAAATCTATAAGATTTTTCGCTATACTATCGGTTTAAGCTACTACATAAATAACACTACATAGTGCTCTCAAAATATCAAACAACTACTTATTGTGAACAATACAATAAACCCTTAACCAAAAAACATATTAAGAAAAAAAAAATGCATTTTGTATATGAAAACAACACACACACACAAAAAAAAAAAAAATCAAAACTGAGAGGGGCCATGTGACCCCCTTAGGCCTCCTTTCCCTCTCTGCCACCGGAGAGAGCACCGACATCTAATTCATCAATAACAATGCATTATTATCCATTATTATCATCAACCTGAATCTTATGATTTTTTTTTTCTCACCAAAATGAATCTTATGGTCTATGAAATATGGACACTTCAAAATAGACGTCGTAGCGTTGTCGGACATGGGGACATGCCGAGGACATGTATGGACACACTAAATGGTGAGTGCCCTTAATTTTATTATTATTTTTTTTCTGTAGGGGACATGGAAGGGACACGACAGGGACACAACAGGGACACGCATACCAAATGGCGTGTCCATTTATTATTTAATTATTTTTTTGTTTGTGCAGGAGACAGAGTTGGGACATGCATGTTCAAATATAGATAATCTATTAATTTGTTTAAATGCAGTGGTTTATATATATATATATATTGAATTGATGTTAGTTTTTATTAATTTTGATTATTTGGTAACATAATATTAATCTACATAGCAAATATATATAATAAAAATAATTATAGTTTGCCGTGTCCCCCGATGTGTATCCATTTTTTCTGAAATCACCGTATCCGTATCTGTGTTTGTGCTTCATACATAGCTTATGGTTTTTTTTTTTTTTTTTTTTTTTTTTTTTTTTTTTTTTTTTTTTTTTTTTTTTTTTTGCTTTTTTTTATATATATATTTCTTAATCAATCTCTATAAATAGCAAGTGGTCATAAAGCCACCATACAGAATAGAGAAGGACTCGAGAGTAATTCTAATTAGTGATTGAAGACATGGGATCAGCTTGTGCTTTCTTCACTCTCTTCTCATTGGTCCTGGTAAGGATAAGCATTCCCCCAAGGCAAAGTAGTACATAATATATAGGATGGGCCAAAGGGACGCTTGGAAGCAACAACTTTCTAGATTTCGAAAACCACCCTTATTGTATTAGTATTAGTTAAAAATATTTTTCAATTATATAAGTCCAGCCCTGAGTTTAGAATCATGTGTCCGCGTAAAAATCCATTATAGAATTTCACAATTTTAAAACTGAAATTTTAAAAACTATATAAAATTTCACAGTTTGAAAAGTGTGAAATTTCACTTTTTGGGTTTGAAGGGTTGGTTTTGTTGTATAATTGTGCATTAATCTGAATATAAACCTCCAAACCCCAAGGGGTTTAAGAACTAGCAACACTGTATAATCTTATATATTTTAGCCCCTTCGAAATCTAAATAATTTTAACTCGGCATCCCAAACTTCATAAAGATCTCATTAGGCCTGATACAATTTTGAGTATTTATAAAAGAAATTACCATTTTGATCACAAAAATCAAATAAGTTGTAACTCTTTGTGTGTCTCTTTATTGAGCAGCTTGTTGCTAGCAGTGTTGATGCAAGAACAGACCAAGGAGAATACTGGCAAGTCATCATGAAAGATCAGCCCATGCCGGAAGCAATTGAAGGCCTCATCATCCACCAGGGCTCGGTGTCGTCACCTCTCTCCCAAGAGAAAACCGACTGCCACACGACAACAGAAGCAGCAGCAAACAACAATCAACTTGTCAATGATTCTGCAGAGAAGAAGGCTTTCGTGAAAGACTTTGAGCCAAGGCCTCACCATGACAACGAAGTGGATCTGAAAGGCAAGTCATTTGTTAAAGATTTTGAGCCGAGGCCAGATCTTAGTACTTATGAACATTGAAGGGAAATCACAAGCATGCAGAGGAACTTGGAAGTGGATTATGTAAGATATATCTATATATATGGTTGAATCTAAACAATTAAGAAGCAAATGTTGTATGTTTGTGTGGTGTACTGGTTTGTAGTTGTGGTTTGAAGTGAGTGATTATGTTTAATTACTCAAAATAAGAAAAGCTTGTTGTGATGGTGATTGAGTAATAGTAATGAAGTTTTGTGTTTTTTTTACGTCAAGAAGTATTTACAAATGATTGCAAGTTTGTTAAAGTCTCAATAATTTTAAGGACACAAAATTGACTATAGAAAAATAGAAATAGTTATCGTACACGTTAGATGGTGGGATTCTACCGTGAGTTGAGCAGACTTTCTAATGATAGATTTTACCATCTAATGAGGATGATCACATGTATTTTCTGTAGTCGGTTATGTGATTGATTATTGTCTATAAAATAGCTCATCAAATCTCTAATTTGTAAGTAATTATCATGTCTTTTCGAAATTCCATATTATGTTGGTTGTGCGTTTGTCCAATAAGAATACACTGTGTACTGAGAAATATGGTATACCATTATTTGAATGCTCCAAGAAGATCATCACTTGAACTTGATTATTAGATGACAATTACAAGTTTTTTTATTTTATTTTATTTTTTTATGATCAATGACAAAACAAGTTTTTTTTTTTTTTTTTTTTTTTAGGTAGAAAATAGATTTTTGTATTCAAAACGTGGAAAATATTTTCTGGAGTCTTAACAATGCCACCAATACTATCAACACCATCATCACCACTCTACCACCACCATCAATAGCTCATCGGTTTCAAGATCTCAACTAATCACAGAAATCATTTTATGTGGAAGATGTTTTCGAAAAATATTTCACATAGAAAGTGTTTTATGCTAAAACAAACAATGCATAAGTTCAAAATATCTCAAAATAGTTGGGATAAATTTCCACGTAAATCTGTACTATAACATTATGGATTTTCATTTCAAAAACCAAGTTCAAAGGAGGAGCATTTCCTAGGTTGAAGATGAATATTGCCAAATGGAGTAGACACTCTCTTTCAATGGCGAAGCCAGAAAAATAGTTCAGAGGGGCATTTATTAATTAAAATTTCAATTATTTTATTTTATTATTATTTTTTTAATCTCATAATCAATAGCAGTAGATAATAATTTTTTAATTAATATTAAGCACAAAATCTTAAATATTTAATACAAAAGTTTTAAAATTTTTGTTTTTACAATTGACCTTGTGAAAAATCAGAATTAGAAATATGGTGTTACTTATAACTAATGTATTATAGGCAATGCAAAAGAGTATTGTATATGTTATGATAGATTATATAATAATATATAAATAATAGTGATACCACATCATCATCGATATATAGTATCACTAACCAATAATAAAATAATGCATGGATGGTTAATCTCACTTGTCAAATATAACTAACAATTCAATAATTTCACATTTTCATAGTGAGGTTAACTATGTTTACATGTAAGTGATGATTTAGTATCACTGTTAGACTGGATTTTTTTAATATAATTTTCATACATAATAATGTGATTTGTCATAATTTCTTCATTTTCAATCAAAAGAATCATCATTATTTTTGTAATTTGAAAAATATCTTTAAGAAATCATTCTGAATGTTATTTCTATATAAATTTTCTTTTTATTAATTATTTTCCTTATATGCAAAAAAAGAAAAAGAAAAAAATGAGTGGGGGACATGTGCCCCCTAATTCCTTCAGAGTTCCGTCACTGCATAAAATTCATGTTGACGATAATAATGCATTATTATTGATCAATTAGATGTGAGTGCTCTCTTTGTTAATGATTGACAGCAAGAATGAGCTAGTGAGAATTGTCAATGGCAAATATTTTTCACAGGGGCAGCCCAGTGTATGAACCTCCCGCCACTATAGGGCCTGGAAAGGGTTACATATAAGCAGTTTTGCCTCTGTATGCGAAGAGGCAGTTAAGATTGTTGCTTTTGATATTCATTGTTGTTTAAAAAAATGATGTTCATAGAGATTTAACGAAAAAATATTAGAAAAATGTTTTGAGGCAACAATATGATTTCATTGTTTTTCTTCCCTCCTATCTTATCCCTGTGTTTGGGCATCTGCGTGTGTGCATGTAGAGAGAAAGAAAGAGAGAGGCGACAACTTTTTACAAAAATAGCAATTAATTGGCAACCAAACTATTTTTAATGGATGTGAATATATATTACACTATATCAGCATTAACAAAGCAAAAGGCCAACCAGTCTGTAATATGTATACAAGAACCTGTATGCATAAGCACCACACCGGCTATTATCGATCTATTAGTACAAAAAGTGAAAAGCATTTTGGAATATGCACTACAACAATTTACATTTTTGCCAACCACATTTAACGACTAAAAGGAATTTAGTCGCCAAAAGTGCAATTTTTGGCAACTAAAAAATGTATTGGTTGGCGTTGGTTTAGGATTTAGCTACTAAATTTTTTTAGTTGGGTATAATATTTATTGGCAACTAAAAAAAATTTTAGTCCCTAAATATGCCATAATAGGCGACCAATACTTTTTTTTGTCTGTGCTAGTCTAGTTTTTAGGCTCCTAAAGTTTGTTTTAGTCGTGGCATGCTAATTTTTGCCGACTAAAATAAATTTAGTCAGCAAATATAGCCATGATATTATTGTTACACTTTGGCGACTAAAAAATTATTCAGAAAATATAAAGTTTTCGTGACTAAAAAAATTTAGTCGTGGTACATTCATTTTCTACTTTTGACGACTAACATTTTAGTCGCTGTTAGAGTTGGTTTGGCTACCAAATAATTTAGTCGTTATTACTAAATTTTTTGCCGACAAAATTTGACATTAGTCGCCAAAGGTGCCAACATTTGAGTGGGAAAATAAAAAGCTATGCCTTGTGTAGGAACTCTCTCACACACAATCAGTCATCACCACTACAATAAGATTGAATTTTAACAGTATCACATCAACAACATATAATAAATGCAAGCTAATTTTTCAATTTTATGACTTTTTTTTTTTTTTGGTTGTAAATAATCTCCTAGTAACGGCATGTCAATTGCTTATGCCGTTAATGGCAATATTGATAATTTTTTTTACGGCTTGTAATGCTAGCTGTAAATTATAAAACTATAACATATATATGGCATGCTATTAATATATCAAATATACACGGCACACGTATATTAGCCGTTAAACATATTTTACTTTACATGATACACAATTTTTGTCGTGAATAATATGATTGAAAAAAATAAGGCGCCAAAATACACCAAAAAAAAATATATTAGGGAAAAAAAACAAACATATCAAAATCAAAAGTGACATAGAAAGGGTTGGGAAAAGAGAAGAGAAGGGTTTGAAGGAGCAAAACCGCAGGAGAAGGCAAGGGTTTGAATTGTCTCATCGCAGAGAAAGGGAGAGTCAAAGCGGGAAGCAAAAATGTGTGCTTCATGATGATCGATGACACCCAAATGCATGTGTGTATTTATATTGAATTTGTATTTGTTCAATTCATTTCTTAATGGGTTTGATTTTTTAAAATAAATCTTTGAGTTAATTAGATTATTTTTTTTGATCAGCAAAGAAAATGAAACTTTATTGATGAGATGAGCAAAACACGCAACAATGTACATCAATAAAGGAGGGAAGTGCAAAAGCATCATAGCTAACACTCCACAATCCCAACTAGGTTGGCACCAAGGAGAAAGCACAATCATCTGCTAGCACTAGACCCACAGATTGGCGAGAAGCCAATCCAAAACAAAGAAAAATGAAAACAGAGATAAAAACCAAACAACCACAGCCTTCCAAATCTGCCAACTCCACCCCCAACAAACACCAGCACTTTATGGCAAAAAAAAATAGCAGACCATTGCAGACCAGAACCAAAACCATGAGTAGACCATAGCCTCAACAACACGTCTTCAACAACAGCAGACCAGGACCAAAACCATGAGTAGCTCTTCAACCAGCAACCATAGCCTCAACCAACATTTATGCAACTGAACATCCGCAACAGAACAGAACATCAGCACCTCTCACACAGATCAGCCTATGCAGCAGCAGCAGCAACCAAGCTACCAAACAACCATCCTACAATCAGATCATCCTACAACCAAAGCATCAGCAGCCATCAAAACAACCAAGGAAACAGCAGCTGCAGAGTAGAAACACCCAACCATACAGCAACATTATACCAGAAACAGCTACAATACGACAAGAAAGAACAATCAACCCCTACCTAGATACCTTATAATCTGATTTAGGCTATAAATAAAATCACTCATTGGGTATTGCCAATCCTTTGATGATGAACTAAGCCAAAGAGCCAATCTAGTTTTGATAAGCTCAACTAAGACCTCTACATCAGCACTAGCCTTGTTGAAAACACATTCATTCCTTAACTTCCATATAGACCACAGAGTTACAAGAGGGATTGATCTCCAAAACACCTTTTCTTTTTTCTTAAACTCTCCTCCCTTCCACCAATGCAACAAAGACACAACTGAATTAGGAATTACCCAATGAATCCCTCACCACTTCAACACTGATGACCACACCTTCCACACAAAAGGGCAATGAAGGAGCACATGTGTAACCGACTCCAAATCTTTTTGACAGAAGCAACATACAGTACAGTTTGTACCAGATAAGACTCCAATTCTCTGTAAGAATACAGAAGTCTTTATCTTGTGTTTCCAAGCAAGCCAACCAAAGAACTGAACTCTAGGAGGTAAGACCTTATTCCATAGCAAACCACTGACCTTAAGGTAATTTCCACCCTCCAATGAACAAAGTTTGTACAGGGAAGATACCGAAAAAATACCTGATGATGTGGCTGACCATTCTGGGTAATCAATTCTATCCAAGCTTACTGAAGGACCAGATGAGAGAGTAGAGAATAATCTCTGCAATTCCACATTTTCCCATTCAAACAACTCTCTTCTAGGTAAAATACTCCACTCCCCCTAAGGAATCCTTGAAATTTGCAAACAGATGAAGAGAACCCCTCTTTTCCTTTGATAAGCTGTACAATCTTGGGAATTCTATTTTCAAACACTGGGAGTTACACCATACTAAATAAATCCATTTTCTAAGTGTTTTATTTCATCTTCTTTTTTAGTATTCCATTAAGTCTAGTTTAATATAATATGACCAAATCACCCTTTTAATTTTTTGCACATGTTTCCATTTTGAA